ATGGAGGGAGCCTCAAATTGTGTCTCCTCCTTCCTGCCACGTCCCGTTACTCCCAGATCGCTCCACGAGCATGTCCGTGGTGAATATTTGGGGTTATTCCATGGAATTATTTGGAATTTTTCCATGGAATTATTCGGCATTATTCCATAGTATTATTTGGGGTTATTCCATTGAATTATTTGGTGTTATTCCATGGAATTATTTGGAATTTTTCCCTGGAATTATTTGGCATTATTCCATAGTATTATTTGGGGTTATTCCATTGAATTATTTGGGGTTATTCCATAGTATTACTTGGGGTTATTCCATGGAATTATTTGGGGTTATTCCATGGACTATATTTGGGGTTATTCCATGGACTATATTTGAAGTTATTCCCTGGAGTTATTTGGGGTTCTTCCATGGAATTATTTGGGGTTATTCCATGGAATTATTTGGGGTTATTCCATAGTATTATTTGGGGTTATTCCATGGAATTATTTGGGGTTATTCCATGGAGTTATGTGGGGTTATTCCATGGAGTTATGTGGGGTTATTCCATGGTGTTATGTGGGGTTATTCCATGGAGTTATGTGGGGTTATTCCATGGAATTATTTGGGGTTATTCCATGGTGTTATGTGGGGTTATTCCATGGTGTTATTTGGGGTTATTCCATGGAATTATTTGGGGTTATTCCATGATCCCAGGTTGCTCCATGGGCACATCCCTGGTGTATTTTTGGGGTTTTCCCATGTTCCCTCTGGAATTCCTTGGCACCCCTGATCCCGAAGCTCCCCCTGAGTCCTGAGCAGGAACACAGGAATGTTTCACTGCTGATCCCACGGATCCCATCCCTCCTCGTTCTCCTGGAATTCTGGAAATGGAGGGATCCCTAATTAACTAAATCTGCCTTGGTTGCCATGGGAACTCAGGTCTGTGTCAAGGAGCTTTAATTCCAAGATTCCACCAGAGCTCCTGTTTAAAACTCCCCAAAAATTCAGGGATTTAACACCAGGCTTTACAATTAAAATAATTGTAATAAAATTACAATATTATTTACAAATCAAAGTTTTAATTTTATTACAATTATTTACTTCCAGGCCTGTTTTAATGGGGCCTGGAAGTAAAATAATTGAAATAAAAAACTGAAATAAAAACTTGAAATAAATAATTGAAATTTTAAAATGGAACTAAAATAATAGAAATAGAGAATTGAAATAATTAAGATAAATAATTGTTAAAATGTTAACAGTTAAAATACTAACAGTTAAAATTGTCATTATTGCTCCTTGGCATGTGGCTGGGCCTGAGCTCCATGGATTTTGGGGAAGAACAGGAAAAATCCAGTCAAAATTGTCTTTATTCCTCCCTGGAGTGTGGCTGGGCCTGAACTCTGTGGATTTTGGGAAGAGCATGGAAATCCATTTAAAATTCTCCTTTTCTAGTT